AGGGATAGGGACGACCACACCATCAGAGGTACGGACATTAACGATAGCAGCAGCAGCCTCCTCCGACATGGTCACAAAGAGGCCTATAAGATCTGGTCGGAGTGGCCTGATGACAACGAAGTAAGATCAAAAATCTTGGCACCTTACTCTGTCTCGAACTTTCTCAGCGATCTGCCCACTATGGAGAGTAGTAAGTTACTACTAGTAACTGAACCTAAACGCGTATGAGTTTGTCCCTGGTAGGTGTTTGTAGACGTCACATCGAGGAGTTATCATAAACAGGCTCAGTCGCTGCCTCTACTGGCCATAACAATTTAACTGGCCGCTACCCTTAAACAGTCCAGCACCCCCATGCCTTCCCATGACCATCATCAGCATCATCGGCCAGACACCGAGGATCCTGCTAAGCAAGTGAAGAACACTTTAGAGGAGTTGAGTGCATCGCTAGATGTAGGCATACTGCTACTACTACTACCGGCCCTTGGGACTGTACAGTGTTGGGTAGGTTGATAATGCAGTACAGGAGATGGCTGATATTACACCTACTCCTGAGCAACAGATTAAGATCCTTATTGATCGTATAGGGGCTAGCTGTGATATTAAGAAAGAACAGAGGCAGGCACATTATGAGGTGGGCTTCCTATGCTTATCTATGGCATGCCTTTTATTGTAGGCATTTGGGAAGCTCTTTAGTGGCGACAGGAGAGGTATTAGTTGGGAGGTTACAGCCCTAGAGAAGGCCTTAGATGACTTTGCTGACCCTGAGTGAGTCCACTGTGGTCCTCATCACTGTATGGGGCAAAGGATGGGTTACTGTTAGGATCATCGAAGACATGAAATTGGACATACCAAATATCGTTGACATCTTCGTGATGGAATTGGTCAAGACCTTACATTGTAAGGCTTACAAGATGCTGGTGTCTTTGATGATGATGACAAGGTGGCTTTATATGCCAACAGGCTTAACGCTAATTTTTAAAATGTAGTATATTCGTACCACACGTCGGCCACATCATATTAGTACTACTCAGGTACATTCTTTTACCATAAGGAGGTGGCTATGGGGTAGTGTCCCCCCTCGTCCTTCGCTTATGTTACTACTATAATGATTACTGTTGATGCCTCTGTAGCCGTATGTTTATTCATGGACTTGTGATAGTAATACTCGAGGTGATAACATTGAGATGATGATGCCCATGACAACAACATCATCATCAACAACTGTTTCTATCTCAACCGTTTTTAATTG